TTTTGTCTTCGCCATTTTTGTTCGTGGCAAAAAGAGAACCAAGAAACTAAGGGACTCGATTTCGTATTCCAAAAGCTGGACAGTTTCTTGCGCCGGCCAGAACACCCCAAAATAAGAAATTGAGCCTCTGGCAGGCTCAACGATGAAATACTGGGAAGTTCAGCATGGAGATCATCGAGATTGATCCATCTCTTCACTGCCCAAGGCTCTTCATGGCTGGTGTATTCATGTCCAACGTCAGCAGGTGGACGTGCAGTTGCCGCAGCGACGGCACTGCGTGGATTCCATGCATCCAGCCTGTATCGGCGAGCAGCAGTCTCGCATGGAGCTGCGTATCCCATGTAGCCGCTGCAGCAACTACTAAACGGTCAAGGCTGACTGATGGCCAACAAGTTGCCAGCGCCGGACTTGTCTAAGATCTCCATGATCCAAGCCACATAGACTGCTAGTCGCCTGCGCTAGAAATTGAGCAAAGTACTGCTACAATAAAAAAGAGGTGCGGACACACTAAAGATCTTTGGCGCACACAGCCGGCCTGATCATGGGTAGATGCACCTCCTTTACCTGTGCCAGCCCAGCGACCCGCAGCCGAGGTAGCACAAGCAGATGGACAGCAGCCTGGGAGTGCTCTCACCGAAGGCATGATTAGGGTTTAGGGTTTAGGGTTTAGGGGCTTTGCCTCTCCAAGGGGGCGAGCCTTCGGGTAGCCGTCGTAAATGGTGACGAACTCCTAACAGCACAAAGGAAGGCCTCCAGATGCACATGCCAAGTTCCTAACATTAACACCCTCGCAAGGATCTTCACAAATACACCTCTGCACCTTCTACACTAGGCTCTTGCGAAGGAATTTGATTTAAGTTACCACAATAGTGAAATAATTTGGGCTAAACTACTTATTACTTGTTATGGTAACTTAAGCTAACTAAACGAATTCATTACCGTCATAAGTATAAGTGTAACCAAATTATCTTGCTATAGATCCCTATGACGCTAACTTAAACTAGTTAGATGCCTTAACAAGAATGCGGGCCCAGCAGACAGTGACAGGGCTTCGAGGTTCATCCCGAGGTACCCTCGAAGTACAGAGCTCAGGGCTTTTGGCTCAAGGGTTGAAAGGTTTAGGGTTTAGGGCCTTTAGGGGTTTAGGAGTTTAGGGCTTAGGGCTTCAGAATCTGAACTAGGATCTGTGAGTGAGATGGCGCCTGGCTTCTTATCCGAACAGCCAAAGCCCCATACACCCGAACCCTTGAAGACTAGACCGCAGAACCAAAAACCTCTGTCAACCCCCTAAACCATGAATCCTAAGCCCCTGCAGTAAACCCGAAATGGGGTCTCCTAAATCTCCTAAATGACAATGCTACAATATACCCCAAATCGGATCCTCAAGAGCCTCATAGACCCTCGAAACTTACCCTGTAGAGCAACCTTTTACTAGTAACCTCAGAGGAACCTTCTAGAAACCTTATAGCCACCTTATAACAAACGCATAAAAGCCCTATAATGAGCTTAAATTAAGGGCAATCGGAGCCTTATAGTAACCTTGTAGGAACCCTTGTGGCATTGTCGGGAACCCTTATCGTAACCTTATAGGAACCTTATAGGATTTTATAGGAAGCATTTTGGAACCTTCTCGGAACCTTTTGAAAACCCTAGACCCTAAACCCCATAAACCCCTAGACCCTAAACCCAAATTTAGGAAGCCTTTGTTTTACAGGGTCCCTTCAAGGAACCCTTAAAGGAACCCCTTAAAGACAACCCCTAAGGTCCCGATCCTCGGTGGAGTGAAGGATGTGCGGCTTCAGCGCCGGGTCGCCAGCCTCCCAGCGATCGAGGGCCTTCCGGATTAGTGTTGGGGGCTTAGGGTTCAAGGTTTAGGGTTTAGGGTTCAGGGTTCAGGGTTTAAGGTTTAGGGTTTAGGGTTCAAGATTTAGGTTTAGGGTTTAGGATTTAGGGTTTAAGGTTTAAGGTTTAGGGTTTAGGGTTTAGGGTTTAAGGTTTCGGGTTTAGGGTTTAGGGTTTAGGCCGAAGAGATGGGAGTTGTGGGGCTAGGCATGTTTAAGGCTTTAGGGCTCTATGGCTTTAGGGTTAAGGGTTTAGGGAGTTGTGAGGTGTTCCGCCTCTTATGGAGAGGGGAGGGGCACGGCGGCTTGAGGGTTTCGGAGTTGGGGGTGTTTTCTGGGATTTTGAATCCTAAACTAAGCCCTAAACCCTAAACCTTACACCTTAAAGCCTAAAACCCTAAACCCTAAAGCCTAAACCTGAGGTGTTGGCAAACTTGGGCGTGGATCGGGGTCCTTCTCCAAGATTTCCGTGAAATGCCCAGAGCAGGGCAGAGGACCAGGGTTCTCCTGGGTTACGGATTTTAGCTTGCGCTACCGTCATGAAGAAAGCACATGATTGAGGTTTAGGGTTTAGGGTTTAGGGTTTAGGGTTTAGGGTTTAGGGTTTAGGTATTTAGTATAGATCCCTTGCATGGTAACTTCCCTTAATTAATTCCTTGACCAGCACCCAGCGTCTGTCAGGCGTGGAAGCACACTGCCTGCACAAAGATCGAATCGACCGAGCCATGAAACTGAGACGAAGGGTTTAGGGTTTAGGGTGAAGCGAATACGGGTTTTGGGCTTCTTGGGTTTAGGTGCTCTGGGTGTATTTAGGGTGTTCAGGTGGACATTGCGATCTAGGGTTTCGGGTTTAGGGATTGCAGAGTTGCTGTGCCTTCAAGAGATTGATAGAAGCTGTCCAGGTCTTCCATGCTCGGCACCTGCTTACAGCCCGGACACAGCAACGCACCAAAAAGCAGCGCGACCTGAGGTGTCCACAGCTCGTCTCCGAAAGGGGTTGGTCCAGAACGTCCAAGTTGGTCGTCCTGCTTGTTGAATCGGCGGGAATCCGCAAGAACAATGAAAAGAACACACTTAGACATACTTCCTGTCCTGCAGAAACGATGATCAGCAGAGCGACCAGGAAGGCAGATTGCCAGCATTCATGCATCGCTTGATGCCCATGTTGGCACGCTGCGCACAGGCAGTCACTACTAATCTTCAAAGAGCTGCGAGCAGTGCCAAACTGATGCACGAGGGTAAAGCAGGGCCTTTGTAATTGGAATAAGGTTTTCGGGTATGTGATACTATAAGTTGGATGAGGAACCCCGGAATAGAATGGGTTATTGTTTAGACCCAAACCCTAAACCCTGAACCCTAAACCCTAAACCCTAACCCTAAACCCTAAACGCCTCGACCCGTAGACCCCTAAACCCTAAACCCCTCGACCCCTAAACTCTAAACCCTAAACCCGAAACCCTAAACCCGAAACCCTAAACCCTATACGCCAGCAGCTGAGGCTCGGGCAGCTCTGCAGGTCACCTGGCCCTTCGCCTTCGCGCTGGCCTGCAGATCAAGTAGAAACTAGAAACCCTCCCGTCTATCCCTTTTCGGCCCGTTTAGGGTTTAGGGTTTAGGGTTTAGGGTTTAGGGTTTAGGGTTTAGGGTTTAGGGTCCTAAACCCTAAACTCTAAACCCTAAACCGTTTAGCAGTTAGGGGCGAGGCAGCAACATGACGAAAGGTCATTACTGGCATGTAGCGACTTACACACTTTGGGTTTGAGGGCTCTACCCATAGGCCCCATAGT